AGTAAAATCAAATGCTTTTGTCAGGAATAGATTCTCTTTACCCACCATTGATATTATGTAAGATGAAATCTAAACTGGCACCGTAGAGGTATGTCATGCAGATGGTTTCCATCTAGAAGCAGAAGTCTGTCATTCAAAGTATGGAGACCTCCATCAAAGGTGAATGTTCATTATATAATGACCTTGTCTGGTCTTATGTTTTGGAAAAAAAATACATCAAGGAAACTTTGCAGAGTATTAAGTTCTGCTTTCCAATAGTTTCCATGCCTGATTTAAAAGTATGTGTACAGACCCGAGATGATCCTCTTCATCGTCTCAGTTCCAATTTCAAGGAATGATGTCTCTACAAATTCATCCTCAGGAAACCAGATAAACTAGTACTTATTCAGATTTATCAACTTACTTCCCAAAATAATTGAAAACATTTTCCCCTGAATACCACACTATTAATTATACACCAAGAGTGTAGCTTGTGCTATCAGAGAAGACTGGGCACTTAACAGCAGCTTTTTGTACATATAGAATCATAGAGTTGGAAGAGACAGCATGGACCACACAGTCCAACCATGCAAGTCCAACCCCTGCCATGCAAGGAAAGCACAATCAAAGCACGCCTGACAGATGACCATTTGGCCTCTGATTAAAAGCCTCCAATAAAGGAGCCTCCACTCCACTTTGGGGAAGCAAATCTCACTGTTGAACAGCTCTTATGGTCAGGAAGCTATTCCTAATGTTCAGGTGGAATCTCCTTTTCATCATTTGAACCCATTGCTCCAAGTCTGCTGTCCCAAGTCATATTTCAGGAAGTTGTACACAAAATAGAATTTACAACTTAATCAAGGTAACACTGATTCAGGCTAAAAAGGATCTTTATGGTATATGCCTTGTTAAATTGGCTCCTTTAAATCAAATAATAACATTACTTGCTTACACCACAGACCTTATATTCATAAGTGCAGTGCAATCCCTTTATCCATAAGATTTGATATGCAGAGTTTAACTTACGCACATTCCAAAACATTTTCCCTTCTTCCCTAGAAACATTTCTGTGCAACTATTAATCCTCCACTATGATTATGCACATTTCCAGCTCAGAGTAGTGAGTTTGCTATAGTCTGTGATTTTACATATCCACAAGAGTTCTTCAAATGTATTTCCTGTAGACATATTATACAATATTATGAAAATCCTCTCCAGAAGCAGCATCTCAGTCAGTGTTGTCTTCACAAAGAATGTAAGAACATGTGCTTTCAAACTGTTTTTACTATATAACCATTAAAACACAATCATCAACAAGTCTCATAAAGTATGATATTCTGAAGCCATGAAAATGTGGCTACAAAAATCAACACTATGACCCATATTCAAGAGGAGTTATTTTCTATGGTCCTTTCTGAAGTGTGTGTGTTTTTTGTGTTCTCAGTCTGTTAGAACTCATTGCCTGTTTGAGATATCAACATTTAGACTTGGGTGGAATAAAATCTTAGCATTTATCCAAGGTCTTCAGAATAATAAAACATTTGAAAAGATGCCCATGGTGGATGTGATGCTGGGAAAATAACATCATTATTTTTATTCAAAGGACATTTATTCAGTTCTTGAGCCAAAAAGTGTCCTAGAGCAGCTTACAAAGATTTGATATAAAACTTCTCAGCATAAAACTAAAAAGAAAAGGAAAATAAAGGATTGGGAAGAAGGAACAAGCATGAGGCATTAAGGTATTACCGTTTTATTTATTACAGTTTTTTCTGGCAGGGAAGACTACAGGAGCTCCTTGCAGCTATTCCTTCTCTATTGTATAGAGGCAGCAAAAATTATTTTGAAAAATACATAGGACACTACAGCATCAGACTACATGCCCATGCATTTGAGCATCCTGTTGCGTACAGAGCCTGCCTAGATACTACCAATGAAGTTCTTCCACAAAATATTTTCTCTGCACCCTACCAACATCTTAAAATGTTAAAACTAGGCCATACTTTGTAAGTGTCCTCCAGACTCTAGCACTCTCTGCCAAAGAAGCCCAGCTTTTTCTCCTTCCTTGATCACATCCTGCTATTGTGCAAAGGCCTCTCCCTACAAGCCCTAAACATTCCAAGCACTCTTGGTATTATCTCTCATATCAGCCACAACACAGTTAGGTTTTACTCCTTGTTTACCTGGAAATCTGCCTTTTTAAAGTTGTGATTCTATCATCACTGTTTTGTTCAAGCACTACATCAAAATCATCTGGGCACCCCCTGGGCAAAGTCCTTGCAGACGGCCAATTCTCTCACATCAGAAGCGACTGCTCCTGACACGACATAAATATATATATATATATATATATATATATATATATATATATATATATGAATATACAATTGTGCAGAGACAATGCAGACATTAAATAATTAAGATTATGTGTGTGTGTGTGTGWGWGWGWGWGWGTGAGAGAGAGAGAGAGAGAACATAGCCAATAATGGAATATATCCAATCTGGTAATTACATGGTGTTTTAGTCTAAAAGAGCATTCTGAGAAGACACAGTGGCATTAATCATGAGGCAGGATGTAGCAAAACTGGCAAGTCTGGCTGAATGATAGCAATAAAACTCATGGGAAAACTTCAGTTTATGCTTCAACTATAGAGCAGAAGAGGAAGAAATCAAAAGATTCTATGTTATTTCCAAAAACAAACCCAAATTAATCACAACCCAAAACAGGACATGCTCATTTATTATAGGTGATTGGAATGCAAAAGTAGGAAATAAAGCAGAACAAAGTATTGTGAGTGAATTTGACCTAGGATGAAAAAATGAAAGAGACATACTTGTCCAATTTTGTCAGGCCACCAGTTTATCATTTGGAAACACATTATTCAGGCAACTGAACAGACATGGTGGCCATTAAATCACCAGTACAAAAGTCCAATAAACTACAAGCAGAACCGTAGAATCATAGAGTTGAAAAAGACCATATGGACCATCCAAATCCATTTTTTTTGCAAAAAATATATATAATAATATCAAAAATTAGAGAGTATAAAGATCATATAAATAAGAGATTTGCACTACTAAGCTTAATTGACCCAGAAACAGAAGAATCCTAGAACCAGGAACACTATCTGAGAAGAACTGAAGGAAACAAATGTAACAAAAAGAAAAAAAATCATTGAATGACTGATAACACTCTTCAAATAGTTAAAAATATGCAAGAAGAAAAAGCTGGAAGAAATAACATTAGAATCCTTAATGCAACTGTTTGCCAGTTTGTGAGTGAGGACATAGAGCACCATAATCAGTGCACAGAAACAGAGCAAAACAAAACAGTACACTAAGAAACGACTTCAACACAAATCATGAAATGTTGAAAGAAATTTCTAGCCAAGAATAAGAATGCTGAATGAACATACTGTATGGCCAAGACACTATAATAACATTAGAAAAGGATTATATAAAAGAGATTAAAAGATGACAGGTTCAATCAAGAGATAAATTTTTCACCAAGAAATTTCTAGAAGGGGAAATGGAGGAGGTGGTCACAAAAAATAAATGATCAAAAACTGAGGGCATACTAATAGAGCTGTTTCAGGCTGTAAAGGACTCCCCAGAGAAGGTACCTCAGTGTTCATTGGAAAGGCTATGCACCATATGTTAATATGTCAAATGTTACACATCAAGATGTATACTAAGAAGAGATAAAACATAAAATGACAGATTTTTTTTTAAGTGAACAGAACACAGGCTCCACTTTTTCAGCATCTGGAATTAAGCCAAGGAGGTCTAAATGGGACATCATGTTAGCACCCGGGCATTATTTCAATGACATTTTGTTCTCTTTCCAGCTTTACGGCCCACAACCTGCTGCACCATGCAAAAAAGATGCCTTGGAGGACTTCCTAGCACCAAGAAGTATGTGCACAGTGGGTGCACAGTGAGGCACTAAGAGAGGGCAGACCTTCTTCCCTCTCCTTCTGCTAACAAAATACCTGTGGTTTCATCAAACAAGACAGCCTCATTAGATTCTGGCCCAAATCTGTCTTAAATCAGATTAATACTTGATCTTGGAAACAGGATATGGTCATTTATATAGTTCTGTTAAAAGTATGACACTAACAAAATTCAACTAATTTTTCTACATACATTTCTCATTAATGCCTAATATTTCTTATCCATGCTCACATTATACTTAGTTTCACAAGCCTTGTTACGTGAAGTTCTAGGATTTATAAAGATGCAATTGTCCTAATGGGCTTAAATTAGAACATTTTATCAGGGTTCTGGGGTCACAGCAATACATCTTGCAGAGAACTATTAAGAGACAAGTATATTCAGTTCATATTTGAAAACAGGATAAAGATATGTAAGTCAACATGTAGATTTTAGCAGCAATATAGGGTAGTGATATTAATAATATGAACAATCAGACACACACACCTCTCCTGATGACTCATAATTGTTTAATATTTCTGTACAAATCATAATGCAAAAAATCTTGAATTTTTTTCACAATATTCTTCAAAAAATTTCAGATTTAACAAAATGCAAATATTCAGTACAGCCTCACCTTATCTTTCAATTTTCTCAATTTCCATTTCCCATTGCTCTCTCTTTTTCGTACTGTACCACTGAAGGAACAACAGTACTAAAAATGCCAGAATAAAGTTTCTAGAAGACAGTGGCATTCCCAGGCAATTATTTTACAAACTTTTGTAACATTAATAAATAATCTACTACAGTTTATAATACTAAGTCATGGGTGTTATATACAAAGTCTTTAGCAAGCTCAAAATAAATATTGAAATCTACATGGCAAAGGTGCACTTAGAACATCATTCAGATAGGACTATGCCATTATTTGCAATTACATTTTTTAACTTTTTGTGGCTCCTGTTTGTATAATATAGCTGTATAGAGTTCCATGGGATAACACATTTTCTTCTCTCTTTTCAAAAAGATCTGTCATTACGTCTTGACAGAGCGATAGAACGATTCATATATTGTCGTTGCAAACCCAGTTTTTATGAGCTTGTAATAATATCTGAAAAACATATAAGTTTGTATTGGGAAAATATTCCCAACTCTCCTTTTTGGAGATCAGTGCCACTTATCCAGTGAACCTGGGAGCAATGGTTTGCTAGAAATGCAATGTAATAATAAAATAAGAGCCAGTATTTTAATTCACACTTCTGATAAAAGCAGAAATAAATACAGCATCTTATGTATCAGGTAGGGTGTAATGTGAAAACTGAAGCATATCATGTACATATTTTGGAAAAAGATAGAAAATTATGCACCAGATTTGGGGTTCCTAGGGGGTCTTTTGTATTCTCAAACAGATAATCTAATTTTATTGCTTTGATTATTTTCTTTTTCTTTTTCCTGGCAGGCCCAAGATCATGCAGATGGTATTCCACCTAGCCAAATTGTCACCATGTTCTTCTTCACATACCATCCGAAGACAATATCTACACTAGGGATTCCAACATCATTGCTCACCTCAACACCTTAAAAATATTTTTGCTTCATGAACTTTGGTTTCAATATCAGTTGTTTTATCTTGGGTTTGGACAATATGGACTTTAAACACACCCACGTTTTCACTTATCCCTTATAACAAAGAGATCTTTCCATTTTGTTTGTTTTTATTCCTATCCTGTTGTCATATAAAAAAAGCATTAGGAAAACTGTACTTTCTGTTTCAACATCAGCATCTGTATTTTTTATCAACATATTTGGAGTAATTAAACCTTTTCTGGCTGAATAGCTTAAATTCTAATAATATTTTAATATTTGGCCAAAAAATAGAAAAGAACAGCACAGGATCATATATTTTGAAAAATGGTAGATTTGTGTGACTCCCAAAGAGTGGATTGACGACAAATCAGATAAAGCAATAAAGGCATTGAACCTTCTCGACTAATTTACAGTACTCTCCATTTTCAGAGCTAGGAATGGTGTTGAGAGAAAATGATTCACCTCAAACTACCCAGCAAGGAGCTGATTAGGAATGTGAAGCTAAGTCACGATCCAATACTATTTCTAGTTCCAGAAATATATACTTTAGATTCTTACCAATAATTGAATTAAAATGGCCTTGCTTATCTTCTTACATGTATTTCTCCACCCAGTGCCTCTTGGCTATTTAAGAAGTTATCACAATCAATAAATACTATGTATTTCTTTTACCTTCACTTGATCCTGGTGGAAAGAATAATTCTTTTCTATTCAATGGATGCTGGAGAATTTTGAGTGGTCTAAATCCTGGTGAGGCTTTAATGATAGAGCAGATTTCTGGTGGGTTACGTAAACACTGAAGGAATGGAAGAAAGCATGACAATTTATAAATGAGTTCAGTTTTGATGTAACCCGGCATCCGCACCACCTACTAAACTAGTACATCATCATCATCATCATCATCATTATTATTATTATTATTATTATTATTATTATTATTATGTAATATGATTGCATCTGTCAACTCTTGCTGATCTACTGTCTCTCATTTGCAAAACAACGAACTATGGTTTTACCATTCAGTAAAAGGCCAAATGTTTAGAGTAAGTGAGCTAGAAGTCACTTAACTGCAGTCAGTATAAACATCACTTCCAATAACGTGTGTGTGTGTGTGTTTTCTTCATAGAAAGTTCTTCAGGAAAATCAGCATCTTTTGGGGGTTTAACAGGACTGCCATCAACATCAGCAAAGATTTGGTCACATTCTTCTCAAAAACCACAATCGACACCAACAGGCCTTTTCCTACATTCTTTCCCATCCTGCCATCCTCTCCCCGATTCTTGTAAGTTATAGCGTGTTATAGATAGTGCCCAATGGTAGAATTCATTCTGTCATTGAGATAGAAATGCTTCAATTTTGTAACTTTTTAAAAAAAGAGGTGTGGAATAAGTAAACAAATGCCAAAAACAAATACTATATACAATCAGTCATATAGGCAGACAGACCTGTGCAACCCTGCCCAAGCAGATAAAAGGATAAGATTTATGACTGGTGCAGAAAATGTATTGTTCATAGAATTGTGAAGCTAGTAAAAAAAAAACCCAGCTTATCCTACAGTGTAAATCAGGTGTAGGAAAGGGGTGTTCTACAGATTTCATGCAGTCCCTATTTTTACAGGTCTCTGTGTCCACTTGCAGATTCCCATATCCTTTACCCTGTCCAAAATTTTTTTTTCCTGTGCCAATTTAAGAGCATTGTTTTAGCCGGAAATATTACAAAACTAATAAATGTGAGAGTTTTCTTTGCCAAAAGAAACAGATTATTTGTATATAACATTTGAAACACCACCTTCTGCCCTTTTGAGATAAGGCTGGATCTATACTGCCAAATAATGCCATTTGACTTGCATTATATGGTCAGTATGTAGACCCATATAAGCAGTTCAAACAGCATTATTTGGCAGTGTAGATCCAGCCCAAATCACATCCTTACCAATCACACAACACATACCCTTTTCTCTCAAACCCTAGTCTCACGCGAAGTCCTCTCATGTACACTTTGACAACTGCACTATCTGCAAACCTGAGGCTAAATTCCTCTCAAACCCTTCAACTTAGACTAACTGCCACTCGCTAGCTATTCCCCTGCAAATCTCCACCAATCTGCATTCACTTCATCATTTCATTCATTCTGCTTCCAATATCTACTTACCTCACATTCGCTCAGTAAACAAAGCAAGACATCACACATAACTCCATCATGCCTTGGTTGCTCAGCTGATGAATGGCCCTCCCTCCATTCCCAACTGCCACTGCTGCGGCATGGGAGAATGAGAAGACCAGACAACATTTTCTGAACTTAATTCCTTTCACTGCTGCCATTTTCTTTTCTTGTGTGTCCTGTCCTATTTATATTGTAAGCCTGAGGGCAGGGAAATGTCAAATCGACAATTTGTAAGCTGCTCTGGGAGCCTTTCTGACTACAGAGTGGTGCACAAATAAATAGGTAATTGGCTGGCATACCAAACCAAGGGAGTGCTCACCAATTGCTGTGCTTCATCCTGGAGAGAAGTGGCTAGATGGCTTCCTCAAATGCCTGAGTCAATGTTTTTTTTTAACATTTTTTACAAATGACTCAAACAATGGAATAGAGGGCATATTTATCATATTTGCAGTTGATACCAAATTAAGGACAGTAGTAATATGCCAGAGGATAGGATCAAATTTCAAAATGGCTTTGACAAATTGGAGAACTGGGCTAACGCTAACAAAATTTATTTCAACAGGGAGAAATGTAAGGTACTCCATCTAGGCAGGAACAATGAAATGCACAAACATAGAATGGGTAACATTGGACTTGAAAGCAGTGCATGTGAAAAGAATCTAGGGATCTTAGGTCACAAGCCAAACATGATGCAGAAGCCAAAAAGCCAATGTAATTGTGGGCTACATTAATAGTGGCATAGTGACCAAATGAAGGGAAGCAGTAGTGTCACTCTATTCTGTTTTTATCAGACATCACCTGGAATACTTCTGGGCATCACAGAAGAATACTGATAATATGGAACATGTCCAGACAAAGGCAGCCTACTATTTCTTCAAAAATGCAATGGGAGTTACAATTTTATAGGCTAGCAGTGCAAAGGAAAAAGGGAAAAGATGTACATAACATATAACCTGATAAATAGTGTTTTCTGGAGTCAATGTTGCAGGAACAATTTCTTCTGAATTGACATATAGACTATTCGTGTTTGGTAAGAAATCTTCACTGAGTGAGCCTTTACGAACTGATGACAAGTCCAGCTGTATCAAAGCAAAACAAAACAAAAATTGCAAAGAGTTATTATTCATATTAAGTTGAGAAAATGGGAATATAACAAGCTTCTCTAGAAAGCATCCTTATCTGGATCTTGCCAAAGAATGACTATGTTCTCTTGCTGTTACAGTATTCTAAGTGGTAAGTCTGATGCCATCTCCTTTAGATATCTCCATAACACTAAGTTAATTGTAGTTCAAAAGCTTCAACATTTATTTCTACATGTTTAATTTTCATTCTCAAACATGTACTTTTACTTCCGGAGTGCAAGAAGTTCCCTTTATGAAAAGTGCTTTGGTTAAAAGTGGCCTTTCGTTTTTATACATCTATTCGGTGCATCAAGAGAAATGCTTTATAAGCCAGATATTTATGTGAATAGATGAAATGTCGCTGACTGTTTTAAAAATTGATTTGGGACCAGAATACCAAGATCTACTTGCTTGAAAAACTTATAAACACATTCCATTATATTATTTACATCAAGGACAAAATAAATAGTAACCAAAGTCCAAAATGTAATGACAACATATTTGTTAAAAAATATTTCATTAACCTCTACATCTTCTGGCTGTTGAAATGCAGTACTTGTTAGGATTGCTTTATTCCTTCCTAGGTTCACTGATACAGAATTTGTCTCCTATATACAGACATATGATCTTATGACAAGCACATTACTAGAGGCTCTTAATTGGAAAACAGTACACATATCAATCTACCTGCAAATTATATACATTGGTATATAATTTTAGGATAGACAAAGGTAACTGATTATTTCAAGCACAGATCCTCACATACTTTAAATTTGTTTTGTAAAAGCAGAACACTATTTAACAAATTAAAATTATGTGTGAAAAACTAATCAAGTACAAAGGATATAGATAAATCTGGATGTAAAATAACCCATGGGAAGAGAACACTCTTATAGTTCTCTACAGGTTGCTGGGCTCCAGCTCTCATCAATCATAGTTCACAAAACTACTGTAATGGTCGCTCTGAGTCCCCTTCGGGATGAGAAGGGCGGGGTATAAATAAGGTAAATAAATAAATAATGGTGAAAGATGTTAACCTTAAATTTATGAAATCCATTCTCTCAGCACAGTCGGACATTGCTTTTAACATTGAGTTCCTATAAAAGTAACAAAATATGACTTGTGTAGAATATGGTTTATTAACAAGATAGCAGCAGCTTAAACTGCAGTCTGCTTAAACCCATCTTGTGATTTATTTCTAAGCCACACAAAGGTGTGAAAGGATTCTGGGTTTTACAAATATCAGTGTGCTGGTTTTTGTAATGAACAATAATTTCAGATGTCATTAAATCTTCTACAGTGAACATCCTTGGGATATATGAACACACTGGCAGCTACTACAATTATTCCATCTTTTGCCTATTGTGCTCACATCAAGAAACTGAAAGCTATCTGGACAGATATATTTAATCTTTGATTTTATTTATATCACACCTTTCTTTGAAAACCAGACTCAAAATGTGTAGGTTTTATTTTGAAACAAAATACAGTTAAAACAGTTAAAACAATATATGTCACAAAAGATACAACACACCCCATTAGAAAACCCTTCTACCACATTCAGTGGAATACCAAAAAAGTTCTTACCACCAAGGACAGAGATCAAAAACTGGAAAAACCTGAGCCTCCCCTGTCTGGGAGCAGATGTTAAGAGGCCCCTCTCTCTCCAATGTCCTCACCAACCATACTGGAAGAAAATTCCCTCTCCTATAGATATTAAGATTTAGTAATGTTCCTATAATACTATCCTAGCCTATCCATCATTGATCCACTCCTTTGGGCTTCATGCAAATATACCATTATCCAAAATATATGATCCTATGCTTTTTTCCCATTTCTGGTCAAATAGGTTAACCATTGGTTTGTCCTATCAAGTACGAAGTCTGCCCAAGGGCCTTTTGTGGTCTCTTAGTATTTAGTTCATTAGTTAACATGTCCACTTTATCTGCCCTGGCAACATCCTATAGTATCCTGAGATTTGCAGTTTAGGCAGTGGCTTTTAGAATTCCCAGCCAGAGAGCTCGTACACTTCACAAAACTACAAACCTTGGGATTCAATAAGATAGTGACATAGCAGTTGAAGTAGAATATAATACCATAGTGTGATATGGTTATTGGTTTTTCAGATAGTCCAGATGTAAGCCATATAAGGACTTTATTGGCCTTGACCACCATTGTAAAAGCAGACCAGTAGCCAGTGAAGATATTTCAGCAAGGGAGTTCCCTATATAACCAACTCCATTTAGCAGTATGACCCCAGCATTTTGGGCCTGCTGAAGTTTCCAGTTTCCATAGGCAATCCTATGTGGAATGCAGTAGAGTAATCCAAATAGGATGTAATCAAGTCATGTGTCACCATGGCCAAATCTGACACCTCCAGGAATGGGCACAGCTGGCACACTAGCTGTACTATGCAAGCACACTCTGAGCTACCGCTGAAACCTGAGTATCTTGTCTTAGTTTTAAAATGGAAATTTTATTTATGAATATCAGCTTTCTGCTGTAACTAATACACTACAGCTTTTTAAAAGAAATTGTATAGTATGCTTAATGCTATGAAAAAAAGTACAGGGGCATTTTAAGTTAGAACACACGTATCATTGTACTTAGTTAAGAAATATCTTGTCACAATTGTTAAAGTAGAAACTGTGGGTGAAGCCCAGCAAAAAATCAGTAAACAGAAGATAATAGTAAGCTGTAAGAACTCTTTTTAAAACATGCACAGTAAAAACAGGACTTTGATCAATGGTGTTGAAAAATTAGAATATGCTGTTTAAAAACATGTTCTAAATGTCCTATCAGGAAGAGGGGTGTGATACCTGGAAACACTTTCAGCAAGACAGAATTCTTGCTGAAAGTGTTTCAACAACTTTCAACAACTGCAAATATACAGGTGGTTCTGACCCTGATCCAAATTCTTTGTACTTAGTGCACATCAATTTTCCGCCTGCACAATCATTTGTTTGGTGGAGAATAGATCCATTAATCTAACTGCTATTAGGGCTCATACTCTTTCAATCTGACATTAAGAAGAAAACTGGCTCAGCCTTGACTGATTGTATAAAAATATACTTGCATGAGATTTCCATTCTAAATAAGCAGCACCCAAAAATGAAAATACAGTTCACAGTACCAGTGCATTAAATGCTTTATCCACTTTTGACAATTGTTACCTTCATATTCTCACAGAACTGTTTGATACAGTTTATATTTCATTCTTCTCCCAACTACTCTTTCAGCATAGCTTTCCCTGTTGCTATATACCTAGTGGTTTAATACCATAAAAAAGCACTTACCATGCTAGCATCTGGCTGTTTTGAGGCTACCTGTTCAATTATATTCCTACAAGCTATGTCTGTTTTGGTTTTGGTTTTCTGCAAACAAGGAAAGAATGAAGAAGAAGATGGGCTTTCCATTGGACTTTTGGATTTCTCTTTTTCCCTGTTCTTCATTTTTTTGGACTGACGATTATCATTTGTCTGCAGTTGGAGAATAAATTAGCACTAGCTATGAATACTGGCATAACTCGACACCTTTCCTCATCATCCAGTGTTTTTCCATACTATCTCCCCTATCATCTCTGAAACAGGAAATAAATCTATGTAGAGGGAAGAAGAGTGGTAGCAACAAAGTGCAGAATTGTGGAGGCACAATCAGCAAGCAGGGTGCATGGTGCTTGTGAATTGGATACGGGGGGGGGGGGGGGAATGCCTCATGCTAAAATGGGTGAGGGGAGATGCCTCCACATGGTCCATGAGCTGCCCCTGAACCAGGAAAAGGAATAAGTCACACCTATAAACCCTTAATCTGCCAGTTTCCCACTGGAACTATTTTTTCACCACATACAATTAACTGCTGTTACCTAAAGTGAGGTGTGCAGAAAACCTGCTCAAGATAATTAGGACAAGTGATCAAGCACAATCTCTTGTTAAATTAAGCTAGCAGACATTAATACTACCTTGCTATTCTGAGAAACCATGGGTGATCCTACATCCATTCTATAATAGCAGCACCATGTTTTGTCAAGTGGAAATTCTTCTCTCATGTCTTGCCTAGATTTACCAATAAATGGGAATGTGTCACTACAGCCTGTGCTTGTCAAAATTTGGGCTGAAAGAGTAGTTTTCTTAACTGCCTACAAATGTAAAAAAAAAAGTAACACCTTGCTTGAAAAACCTCACTGCCATGATGCATGGTGATGGCAGAAGATGTGCACCCCCCGACAAGCATTCATATGGGACAAAAAGGTTCCCATTAATATAGAAAGCAGCACAAAAACCCAAAAACTGTGGTTTAATCTGGGCTGGCCCGATCATTATGCAGAATAAGATTATTGCCACAGTATGTAAGGCCTGGACTGGGAGGGGACTAGCATCAAAGGGAGGGAAGATATGGCTGTGTGCCATGTCTTCCCAAAGTTAGAATAAAGCCTTTGGGTGAATGATGGAGTAATTGCCATACAAAGATGAAGTATCCTTCCTAGCCAGGCAGCAAAACTCCTTGGGCTAGTCCTGCACCGCCAAATTTATACAAAGTAACTTGCAGGCATTAAAGTCATTACCTGTGTTTTGTGCTTCTGCGGTAGCAACAACAAAGATCCAGAAGATTGTGATTTGGCTCTTAATTCCTTTGTAGATACAATTTTGTGTAATTGTTTTCCTGCAAAATATATACACATATGAAAATGTATCATCTCTTCAAGTAGTCCTAGAAAACTGGCTCTACTATTTTTCATGAGCTGACATACATCACTGCGCATTTAATCCTGGCAGTTTCAATTTCTGAGATTTTAATGATTGCTTGACACTATTGATCATGACTTTCATTCAGAATCTTTCTACATTGTTGGAATGAATTTCTAAACAGCATTTGTGCAAGGAAGTACAAAGCCAAGGGGTCTCAGTTACTCTGGATGAATCACTACCCACAATTACGGTAGGCATGGCAACCAAGAAAGATTGGGGTGCAGCTTGCAGCCAGGAGAAGCCACAGTAGTTAGCAGTTTCACAGCACTGTCCCTATTTGTATCCACTTCGAATCCAGCCTCTGCTGCTGCTGCTGTACCAATAAAATTTCCACTCCCTGCTATCATCTGATTGCCTCACTGAGAATTGAAAGGTGCATGCATTTGAAAACCTTGGTTTTATTTCCCTCAATCTGGTGTAACTCCCATTCTCACATGTTCATCTCCTCTTCTCAGCAAATATTCCTTCTGTCCTTTCCTCAGGCCTTCCCTCTTAACTGCCCCTCTGTTTTCTTCCCTAGGCACATACCCATTTCCCACCCCAAAAGGGGACAGAACCATCTTGCACAAATTCCATTATTGTGTCTTCTCTGGACAAACTATAAAATTAGTAAGGTGGGGGGGGGGGAATAGCACAGCTAGTCTATGGAAAGATTAGCATAGATCCCAGAGTGACTTCCATTTAGGGAGCAAAAGAATTTGTTAATGAATTTTTCTAAAGAAAAACCTGGTGCTGCAAACAAATTTGTTACTTATTTAGCATAGTTGATCTCCTGTAATGGTGATGAAATGAGGTGTCTGCCTATGGCAAAGATTTCAGAAGGAATTTGTGTGAAAAAATGCTGAACAGGAGGTGTGGATGGGGAAATAACCGGACTGATTTTGGGAAAGTTTGGGTTCTCCATTCATAAATGGTGTAGTTGCTCAGGTGACATATGTGTGTTTAAGTTCTAGGAAAAAAATGGTACAGGGCACCAGATGTTCCATCTTCATTAATTCGGGGGAAGGGGACGGTCAGAATGAAGCTGATCAGTGGAAATTAAAAATGCTCTGTATGTGCTCAGAGGTTGGAATTATAAATCATTGCAAAATATTTTTCCCCCAGAGAGAATAACAAAATTAAAGCAACCTACTAAAAACTCTATTGCCTAGCTCAGAGCAAAATATTCTTTTTTGCATTCTATGGATCTTCTTAGAGGAAATGATTTTTTTCAAAGAGGGAGACATTCAGACATTAAATTGGTCATTTTTATTTCTATTTTGTATTGGCACAAAAAAGTTTTTCCTGTAAATTCCTTTTTTTATATCAGGAATGTTAATTATCACTGTAGGAAGCCTGTGAGAATATAATGTAGTAGTTTGAGTTCTGGACTAGGACTCCAAGAGAGAGTGTTCGAACCTTCACTTAGTCTAAGAAACCCACTGGTTGACTTTGTATACAGATAGCCTTCTGAGCCTTAGAGAAAGACACAGCAACTCTACTCTGAATGAATATTGTTGAAATAACTCCAGGAGAGGGGAATCGTAAGCCAGAAGCATCTTCAAGGCACCTACTAGAAGTTTTTGTTCATTTTAATAATTTCAGATGCTTGCTAGTGTTTTAACCACTAAAACACAATCATATGTCGTTTGGAGTCATTTCATAGTAAATGGTCCTAGGAGGCTGAATGTCTCAAAGCTTACTATAAAGTGCAGTCTCATACATTCACTTTTACTCACACTGGCATTTATATGTAATGCTCAGCAATCCATCCAAAAAAAACTGTGATGAGGCACATGAAGGTATTACATGAGAAATCTTGTGCCAAAATGAAATATGAGCCCAGATGCAATGCAGTGGCATGATATAGAGGCCACTGTCTTGGATGGAAGGGCACATGATTTTAGATTATCTTAAAATTCGGACCACTAGGTGTTGATTTCTTCATATGATGATTATTACTTGCATTGTTGCATGAGTGCTATAAATGGGTCATACATACTACCTCAAAGTTCTCAGAGTCTGGTGACTTTGGGCTTTTAGTAAGTGATTGGTTGCGGAAAGAGGGCTTCTTACCATATGAATACTTTGTTCCCTCATTTTAAATTGTAGTTAAATCACATTGTAATTGATTGGTTTTGTTAAAAAAAATCAATTGTTATATGTTTCAGTTGTACTTTATTTAGTCTTATGAGCTGCCTTTTGAGAGGAAACAAATCTACCAAATTTCAATACATATCTATGTGCATATTTATTAGAACAAAAACAGAAATTGATAAATACACAAAGCCTGAATTCATGCAAGCATGAATATGTTCCAAGAGTAATATGTAATATGTATATCAGGGAGAGGGAGAGAGGTGGGACACTTTGCACAGTTTAAAGGATATTGCACCAGAATTACAAGAAAGGATGTGTACACAAGTTCCACTGAAGACTATGAGGCAATACACAGGAAGAGGTAAAGAGGTTATTTTCATTATGATAATTTTAATAGTAAAGCTGCTTTCCAAACCTTTGCAAAGATGGGTATGTATGAGGAAACCACCACATATAGGTCCTGTGACATGATGCTGTTTCAACAGCGTATGTAGAAAAATGGATTACTAGTTGTGTTGCTTATTTACACAAAGCAGTTGGCTTATTTTGAATATTAGTTACCTGCTACTACAGCTGAACCAGTTCTCAGCCCAGAATGCAGTTTCTGTTCAGATGATCTACTCCTGATGAAAAACTAAGACATTAGCTTCTTTCAAACCATTCAAGAACTTTAAAACATAAGTAGATTCTTAACCACTCATAACAATTGTCCCTGTTTTAAGATCTCGTATCTAACATTTTCTATGCAGTGAATATAGAAGGTGGTTAATTATCAGGCCAATTCATATGATTAATTTTGGATTAATAAAATGCTCTGCCTGTATTCCCAGGGATGCATCAAGCTGGATAATGCCTTCTGTAAGGGGATGACTGCATCTGCTACATGTCTGAAATGGAGATGGTGGAAGAAGTTACACCACCATGACAACACTCACGATTTCTGTACACACAGGCATCCAGAATTTTAGAATACCAAGTTTATATGGAACAATTCTCAGTGCATAGAATGGAAAGTTTGCAAACCTTGTGTGTTTTTTTTTTTAAAAAATACAATACAACTGTTTGGTTCGCTCCTGACATAATAAATAAATGAAGTGCATTATCATGGGAAGACAATTGGGTGAAGTAGTCTAACTGAAGAATTTTGATCACAAGTCCGCAAATTATGAGATAAAGGGAAATCCAAAATACATTCTCAGACATCCGGAAAAGACAAGGATGGGTAGTTCCAGAATAATGAATGAAGCAATACAGTCTTTAGGCCTCATCATAAAAGTCAGATGAAGCATCCTGCTTGTTGGGGGAAGGCGTCCGGTTATGTTTTCACCCTGATTGGGGCAGAGCCTTTGCCGGAACTCACACAATGTCATGTGATGTCCAGTGTGGGACTCCGTGCATTAGACGATGTGAAAGCATCCTAGGATGCTAAGCTCACTCCATCAGATGAGATCCTTTATACTGGACTCACACAAACAGAGCTGAGTAGTTAGTTTTTACAGCACTAATCTCCAGATGAAGACGAGAGAATAAATTAGATTTAATCAATAGTTTATCCATTACATGATATACCTGCACAGCAGTGTGCACACACAATCCAATACAGTTTTTATTGGGAATTTGGTGTACTAGGAGTAAGGTTGCTTAGACCAGTGGTTCTCAAACTGTGAATCCCAAGATGTTTTGACCTTCAACTCCCTGAAATCCTAACAGCTGGTAAACTGGTTGGGATTTCTACTGTTATGTTGGTGAAGGCTATCAGCATGACAGGGAGATCTTCATGCCATTTTAAAAACAGCAATGCATAAATGGTTTACATATTATATATTACCTTATAATACTCTGGTCTTGACTTCCTACAATGGAGAGGAAAAACAGATACATTTGGTTAAGAACAGAAAAAAGCAATAAACAGTTCAACAAAATATAAGTTTAATAAAATATCAAACTGATGACATCCCTGACTTACAGGAGCCAGTGTAGTGTAGTGGTTCGAGTATTGAATTATGACTCTGGAGATCAGACTTTGAATCCCCATTTGGCCATGAAAGCCTTAAGGGTGGCTTTAGGTAAGTCACACTTTCCTCTCAACCTTAGAGCAAAATCTTGCCAGAAAAACCATATGATAGGTTTGCTTTAGGATTTGCTTTAGGGTCACCATAAGTCAGAAATGTCCTGAAGACACATAGCAACAAATCCCTTGTTTTAGTCCAAACAGCACTGATTAGAATACATGGATCTGGGAATTCAGGACATTGCTTCCCTGATCAAAGGTTGATAGGGATTAGTAGTTCCCTTGCTTACAGGTTGTCCAGTTCCCATCATCAAATTAATGATTTTTAGACAAATGCTTGGGAAAAATCAGGAAAGCAGAAGGACAATGTGTTTGTTCTACTCAAGATAGTTAATATGAAGTAAAAACATATAATTGCACAAGCAGTGTATAAGTGAAACATAGCCATACAGGCAAATTGGAGGTGCTTAGACAGGTAAGAGTCTGCCACATAAAATCCTTAACCTGGAGAACAGATGCCTACATGCAGCATAAATCTCAGAGTTTGGTGGAGTCTCCTTCTCTGCAGGTTTTAAAGTAGAGACTGGATGCCTATCTGTCAGGAGTGCTTTGATTGTGTATTCCTGCCTGGCAAAGCATTGAACTGGATGCCTGTGAGAATTGGAGCCACAGATTCCCCTTTTCCAGGATGGTGGGGTGAGGGTGCAAGTCAGAAGAAAACGTCTTGTACATCCAATCTAGCTGGATCTCAGCCACAGATGGACATAGGAAAGCCTCTCCAACAGGATTTCCAAAAGAGGGCAGGCTGAGAAGCTCATTTTCCCTTCAAACTCATTCATCTCTGCCATACAAAATGATGGGAGCACCATTTTTTCTTCTGATCATTTAAGTTCAACCTTCAATAAGACAGACATATATTATGTAAGTCCCTGCAGAATCTAGCCAGCAACAAAGACCACTCACAAAAGTTATTTTGGGTTGGCTTTAATTGCTCAGATGTCTACAACTAAAGGAAGTAGCTAATTGCGATTTCGGCCAACAACTCTTGATTTCTATTGATCTTCCTGTTCAGAGCCCCTTTCCCAATTTTCCCACTGAAATGAGTCTACCCATATGTTCTGAAGCTTCTTCCCCAACACCCCCTGCTGGACTCAAGATGTCACAGAGAAGATTTATGATGTCCTTGAGAGCAGCAGAATTCAGCTCCTGACATACTGTCATAAATCACATTTTTCAATTACCTGCTATCTTTGACAGATTTGGCAGGTGTGGCATCTTGCCTATGTTGAGAGCTTTGCTTGTTTCCAAGAGAGTTGAATTTTTGCATTGAAGACATGGTCCTTCAGGAATAGTACTGCTTTCTTTTGAACACAGGACATAATATGATTATCACCATTTTTCTTAATTAATGAAGTTCAACAGCATTAAAATATAACCATGCACTAATGTCTCTAGAACAACAACTACAGCAAACACGTTGATCTGCATATACAACATAAAGGGAAATCCACTACTATCACTGCTTCCACACACAAAAAATCGAAGCTATTGTTCATCAGTCAATGCATATCGGAGTATCTCCAATGCTTGAAAATTAGAAAATACAACTGAGTTTTAAAAAATGCCTGATCTACATGCTCAAGAATAGAGAGATCCCATGAACCCATCCATCATGACTTTGCTTAAAGGAGCACTCTTCCCTTAATTTAAGAGAAACTGGGTAAATTTGTTAGGCCAGTGCTTATCAGATGATCCAACTGACCATGCAAATGTTATATTTTAATTTGAAAATATAAAAATATAGATGTAGTCACATGATTTCAACTAGATTCCTCCTTTACACAGAATGTAAGTAGTGTATAACTAAACCTTCTTCATCTCTGAATATTTCAGGTGATGAGTAGCTACTTGTACAACCGCTAGATCCTGTACTGGAGCACACCAGAGAATCCACATCCAAACAGTCCAGCAAGAAATCTGAAACACCTGTGGGTAAAGTCGTTCCTAGGATTTAAGACAAAATAATCAAAGCATTGTGCAATATAAAACTATCAGTTTTGGCAAATTACCAATTTTCCCCAAAAGGCACGTATATCAAACATGGGGGCATATAATATATGCATTTTCTGTATCTGATAGTTTTTAATGGAATAAAAAGGGAAAAGGGGGAATCAGGATGTGGATTTCTACTGCAGGGGAAAATAAGGTTAAACTTCTTCATCATGGTCAGTGGGGAAATCCTACTATTGGCCCTAGGAGAAATGATTCCATAGGAATAAATGTTGCATCCTGATTCCCCCCCCCCCCCCCCCACACACACACACCAGAAAATTCAGCAGGAGAAAAGTAGGGATTCATTGGTACGGAATCATGTTCAACAGGGCTGGGCAGTAGGACCTCCTTGCCACCTCTGAGGCTGTTGAGGGAGTCCCTGTAAAGGTGCCATATGGGCCTGATCTGGAGTTCCAGACATGTCAGTGTAAAAGGGCCCCTCCTCACTCTCTCTTACTTTATTCCCCCCCTCCCCTTTTTGAACATGCTTATAGAAAATACATTTTCTTTGGAATGAATTATTGTTCTTGATCTTGTTCTTACCTCCAGTTGCTACTTAAAGAATTATATATAGAATTATATGTGCAACAGACTTTGTATACAAAAGGGTTTAAGATTCATACATAATTCATCATGCTTTAGTAATTTCAAAATTTATTAAATGTTTATATAGCACATTTCCAGGGAGAAAGCACCTTCAAAGTAATCTGCACGCACACACACACAAAACTATAAAATGCCATTGAATAGAAGAAAAATATTAATGACAATAAACAGCAACAACTAACTAACCAGACCAAATCAGCCAGTTAATGAAAAACAATTCCTTGACCTTCCTTCATTGTCTGCTTTTAAATGGGACCTTAACTAGAAAGCAATAAACAGGATATTGAAATGTTCTTTCTGATTCAGCAGGATACCAGGCAGCTGGTTCAAGTCACTGGTAACAGGACTGAAATTCAATCCATAACCTACCGATGTTGTTAGCTGATATGTCTAGTTTGCAGCCTGTCTTGAGTATCTGCTTGAATATTATGACATCTCAGATATAATAAATACTTAGGTACACTACCTGAACTAACTTTGTCAGCACCAACTTGAAACTTAAGCATTTGACACATGCTGCTTAGAACACACTCACTGCTATTTCTAGATTCATCCAGGAATTCACCTCTTTTGCTCTCTTCGTCTTGCATGCAAGGGTGAACAAGTACACTGACATATAAATTGATTCTCAACAAGGAAAAACAGCAAGGTAGGCCACAAAGTTAAGATATGGAACCTCTTTAATGGCTGCTTAGCAGGATGATTTGCCAACTCTTTAGCACATTTTTGAAAGGAAAGTGTTTTTGATCCCAACATAGTTAGGTTGACTCACCTGAAGTGGTTTCACTATCTCTTGAGCTCTTTTTACTTGCAGTATTTAGATATGAAGAATCCTGAAGGCAACAATGAAAAATGCAGTCAATGCATGTTGTGTTCCAAACACTTTTCACCATACAGAAAACAAAATAGTATTTTGTAAAGATGCTTTCTTTAACAACAGAATTGTTTGTAAAGTTATAAATTCAGTCATCACAGGTCATGGTTTGCAGACCTTTGGTCATTTAGATCATCCTTTTCTAGACATGTTCCAGCTTGTCAATATCCTTCTTGAATTGCAATGGACACAGTATTCCAGATGATGTCTGACCAAAGCAGAATAGAGTGGAATTATAACTTCCCTAGACACTATGCTCTTATTCAGGGGTTCTCAAACTAAAGCCCGGGGGCCGGATACGGCCCTCCAAGGTCATTTATCCGGCCCTCACTCAGGGTGAACATAAGTCTGAAACTACCTGAAAGCACACCACCACAACAACAACAATCATATCTCATTAGTCAAAAGCAAGCCCACACTTCCCATTGAAATACTAATAAGTTTATATTTTTAAGTGTTCTTCATTTTAATTATTGTATATTGTTTTTAAGGGGGTTTTTTTTGCACTACAAATAAGATATGTGCAGTGTGCATAGGAATTCATTCATTTTTTTTCAAATTATAATCCAGCCTCCAACAGTTTGAGGGACTGTGACCTGGCCCTCTGTTTAAAAGGTTTGAGGACTCCTGCTCTTATTGATGCAGCCTTGAATTGCATTGTCTATCTCAGATTTTACTAGCCAGTTTGCAAAAATATAATGGGTATCTTGTTTAAGGCTGTATTGAAATCAAGAGGTGAATAACTGTCTCTGCAGATGATGTCAGGAAGAATTATTTGACTTCCTGGACCATGGACTGTTTTTCTAGGAAGATAGCCTACTGGTACAGGATGGGTTGCACCTCACAGAAGTAGGAACAAATGTTTTTGCTCAGAGACTGGCAATCCTGATCAGGTAGACTTTAAACTAGGTTTTGTAGGGGAGGGTGAAATTACCCTTGGGAACAGTAGTTTATCAAGGCCCAAACTAAACAAACAAAAGGCTAAAGAGAGGGTTGGACAAACACAACCAGCACCAAGCAGGGAGGGGGCAATAATCTCAAATAAAAAGAAAAGGGGAATGTCCCACTGGCTTAGATGTCTTTACACTAATGCCCAGAGCATGTGAAATAAATAAGATGAGCTGGAACTCCTAGCACAACAAAACAGTTATGATGTAATTGGCATAACTGAAACCTGGAGGGATAACTACTATAATTGGAATGTAGTAATGGAGAGGTATGGCCTATTTCAGAGAAATAGACCAAACAGGAGAGGGAGTGGAGTAACATTATATGATAAAAATGTTTACACATGTGAAGAGATGCAAAACTTGAATCCTGGAAACCAGGTTGAGAGCATCTGGATAAATATTAAGGGAATAAGGACTGATAAAGATGGAGCTGTGGGGGTCTACTACAGACAGTCAAGACAGATGGAAGAACTGGGTGAAGCCTTCCTTGCTCAGATGACCAAACATGCAGAAAGAAGATATATAATAGCAATGGGGGATTTCAACTAATCTGATATTTTTTGGTAAACAAGCTTTGCCAAGAGTACAAAGTCCAACAAATTCCTGACTTGCCTTGCAAATTATTTCATTGTACAGAAGGTAGAAGAGGCAACAAGGGGATCAGCTATTCTGGATCTGAACCTAAACAACAGTGCGGATCTGATCAATGGAGTAGAAGTGGTGGGTTCCTTAGTTGGGAATAAATATGTGCTCCTGGAGTTTGTAATACAAATACATAATAGACCATGGAATTTGGTACCATAAAATGTAGATCAATTTAAAAGAGAATTTTAATCCAGATATGATAAAATTGTTCATTTTTACTTATAATGGTAGCTATATATTATCTCTTATTCCGCATGCCAAAAAACATAAGCAGGAATGCACTATCATGCTAGCATCCTTTTTTGTGACTTCAGAATCAAAATAAGCATTTTTGAGCATTGGCCAAGGGCCTCAAACAGCTTTAAGATCCCTACCTTTGCCACAGTCTTGTCCATGTCACTGATATCTTTATTCACGTCCATACTCCTGTTTTCATTTTTAAAGAATAAACGTTGTTTAGAGAAGAATACACCACAATTATGGGACTGTTTTTTTTGTTGGGCATTTAAAACAAAATGTGACTGCTCTTAATTTGGAATTTAATCCACTCAATGCACACCATCTTACTAAATTGGTCACAACTAGAGCAGAGTGTTGACTTGGTAAGTTGGCACTTAAGTTTAATGGACTCAATGGGTCTGATCAAAGTCAGACTAAAAATAGACCTCATGTTATCATGTTGATTCTGGGGAATTGTTGAAAACAGATAAAGAATTCATGCAAATGTCCATTATATCCACATTATGCATACTAATGCAATTAACAATAATTTAAACTTATATGACAAATTTCTTGATCAACCACCTTTTGAACAAACAATGCAATACTTAGTATGGTGTTATACTATACCTTTGGTCAGATGAATGACAATTCGTTTGGGTTACCTCTGAATTTTCATGAATATTTGGTAATGCTTTTGTAATTGCATTTCTATTGAGTCCTATGGGGAAAATGGACATTTATTAAACCCTCATCTTATCAAGGAATAGGAAAAGTTTGCAGTTTTGAGGTCTACAATGTTATAAGTTTAACTTAACTGAAAGCACTAAATTCATTCACAGAAATGGTAAGGAAGTAATCTCCATTTTGCCTATCATCCTTCTATCCTCCTCCTCTCTCTTTCTCACACAGTTCCAAAAGTATGTAATTCTTAGATTATTATTTTTAAAAGTATTTTAATGCAGCTCTTTGGCCAGAAAATGCTCTCAGAGTGGCTTACGAAGATCAGGACAAGGATACTTCAGTTAACCAAATAGATGTGTTCCAGAGCATTTCTTTTCTAACAGAACATACAGTACCAGAGGCAGAAATAACACAGAAAGAATAGTGACATGCCCCTACACTTCAACAAAGAACAGTTGAGTATGTTTCCACAAAATTGTATCCAAAACGAATGTGTACAAGTGAAATGAAACAGCCAAACCAAGAAAGCTCTGCATAAGAAGACCACATCAAGAGTTCTTCCAAAATGAATCCAAGGGTGATTTTTTTTTCTCCAACTTCTACTTTTTACATCTATTTTAGTGGATAAATCTAAAGAACTATGACTTTTTAATATGCAGGAAACTGAGGAGAAAGCCAGTGTGTGCTGAGCATCTGATTAGGACCTTTGAAGACCAGAGTTTGAATCCCCCTACTCAGCCATGGAAACTGGGTGAACTTGGGGAAGTCACACACTTTCAGCCTCAGAGGAAGGCAATGACATCCCCTCCCCCCAATAAAACTTGCCACCACCCCCCCCCCCCACATGATAGAATCACCATAACTTAGAAATGTCTTGAAGACATACAACAGCATCAAAAAATGAGGCAGGCTTGTATGCTCCCCCTTTTTCTCTTTGTACTGTTTTTCACACATCAGTAAAGCATTCTGGAGGCAGCTGCTGTTTGCCTTGTCTATAGACAGGCACATACAACAAAATAAAGATTATTGCTTTTTTCCAACTCAATACTTGCTTATTGCATTGCTTACTGCAGGTGTGATTCTGCAACCTGATCCTAAAAATCTGTTTGTCCAGCCCTTCTAAAATATGCCGAGCTAGACAAAAGATGAGGCAAGGAGGAACTGGGTACACACAAAAAAAAATGTAAAAAGGGCATTCATTGTCAGAGGCTTTGCTAACTGAGGCATGCTTCTGCTAAGACAGTTACTGGCATCTAAAAGACATGAAAAAAGACATTGGATTGGATGAAAGGTATATGGGGGTAAACAGCAGGCCCGACTTCTACACCTTGACTGTCATGATTGTAAATTAACACAGAATAATTTTGCTCCTTTTGTGGGTATGTAGCCCGACCACCATCTCCCAAAGCAGTTGCTCTGCTCCGAACTCAAGAACGGAATGTTGGTGGACAGGAAAAAAGATTTAAAGATGGGCTCAAAGCCAACCTTAAAAACTCTGGAATAGACACTGAAAACTGGGAAGCCCTGGACCCTTGAGCGCTCCAGCTGGAGGTCAGCTGTGACCAGCAGTGCTGCAGAATTTGAAGAGGCAGGAATAGAGGGTGAAAGAGAGAAACGTGCCAAGAGGAAGGCGCGTCAAGCTAACCCCGACCGAGACCGCCTCCCACCTGGAAACCAATGCCCTCACTGTGGGAGAAGATGCAGGTCAAGAATAGGGCTCCACAGCCACCTACGAACCCACCCCCAGGACACTGAACTTGGAGGACCATCATTCTCGGACTACGAGGGATCGCCTAAGAGAGAGAGAAGAGAAGAGTTTCACTCAGTCATTGAGAAAAGAATCACACATTTGTATTTGGTACTTCAACATGACTCATTCATACTTTTTCTAGGGCGAACATAGATCAATTATTCCAACAACAGTTGCTACTTTTAAAGAATTGTGTTTATAACGTTAGTTAACTATTGAGTGCTTGGAGCAGTAACTGTTACTCATTATTATTTGAAATTAAGTTTCTGATCTCTGGTTACAAAGTTCTTATAAGCAGCTTTTCTGGCAGGGAGGAGAAGCTTAATAGATGGAACCAAGCTTGTTTGTTTTTTTTAACTTGCCACTATGTTTTTACTAGGAAGTTGAAGGGATCATAAACTGACCAATGTCAAAAAGTGGAGAATGCTGTCCTTTAGTCCTAGAGAAACATATTGCTCTGGCTTCGGTGATTCTCTTCAAAGTCAGTAAATTTATGATTATTCTACAAAAGGAAGGGTCAACTTATCCCAACAATTAAAGGGAGTAAGCAAAGGAAAGTCTAGGAGGAAAATTAGAATGGGATTGTTACTATATCTAACAAGAACACAACTTGAAACTTCATCTGTATGGACTGCAAGATCTTTCTCTTTAGATACCATCTCTCTGGACATTTGCAACACCTTTTCCTTTACATGCTTTCATAGACATCAGGTTTTATATATACTGTTTATTCAGTATTTTTCTTTTTTGAAAAAAAACAACAGATCTCCTGGTGGCTGCTCCTCACTTACTGGATCAAATGGGGGAAAGCTCCCTCTTCTGGCAATTCAGTTTAATTCATTTCAGTTTATGATGAGTGCATTGTGGAACACTGAGTTATAAGAGCTTTAAACATTGGCCCCAAAGTATTCTTGAAATGAAATAATCATCAAATAGTGACCTTTCCTCCTCTCTGTTTCTTTAGGGAAATAATTACATAAATGCGTGTCATGTTATAAGATCTTCCCCATATTAAAAAATGTTGAAGCACCACATTATCAGGTGATTTATGGTTTGTTAGTGTAAAGCAATGGTATTCCCCGTAGTAACCTACAGATGTGAGAGCTGGACCATAAGGAAGACTGAGCGAAGGAAGATAGATGAACTAGAAAGATGCAGAAGGTTAACCTCATCTTGCAACTAATAGGTTCCTGCAACTCAAACATGGCCAGGGCATATCACTCATGTCACAGATATGACACTTAACCCTCTACTTTTGCAGGTTTGGCGTTTGCAGATTGGATTGTTCATAAATTAGATTTAAATGCTCTCTCTAGGAATCTTTAGGCCCTCCAGTGTGACTCTATGGTAAACTTCAACTCAAAATTGATCATGCTGGAGCACCTAGAGATACCTAGAAAGAACACCTCTGTAAGAAACTCTAGATATTCCAATGCAATTCCACTGTTAACCACAGGTGGAAGTTGGCCATAAAGATGTGCTTGATAACCAGATATTCTTAGACAGGTGGTCTCTCAGGTTTAAAAAAAGTTTTTTTAATTTACATTTTTTCACTTTCATGAGAGTCCTATGCTCCTACCCTCAGCTAGTGTGGAGGACTGACTGTATATTCCCAAATTTGTAAACATCTATCATTCAAATCCCAAATACCTTGGGATAGGTAACATAGTAATCCTTTATGGTGTTTGGGACTACAACTCCTATGTTCCAGATACCATAACCAATAATCATGGATTCTCAGAATCCCAATCCAATATATCTTGAGAGCATTAAGTGGACTACTCCAATCCTAGAGTAATGGATAGCTGTCCAATGGGTGTGGCTTTTTGCTATAAAGTTTGTACAGGACCAGTTTGCTGATAAACACTTGCCATTTCTCTCTGTCTGAAAATTTCCATGTCCTTTTTTCTAATAGTGAGGCTCAAGGCAGCCTGCAGCTTAAAAAAGACCAATATCTCAGGTAATAATTCAGCAAGGAACCTTAAACTGGCAATCATGGATGAACACACCAAGGAGAAGAATGAGCACTTTGGAGTATTGTGTTGCAAAAGTCCCAAAGACAAAAAAATTTAATCCTGTGGCCCTCTGGACTGTGGCCTTGAATGGCAGGGATAGGGTGGGTTCAGTCTTGTACTATCTCTTCCAATGTCAGTCATTAAAGATTGGCCACACTGGCTGGGATTTCTGAGCTTTGAAAGCCCAAACTTCTTTGAACCAAAAGTTCCCTACCCTTGAAATAAGGTACTCTGTTTCTTAAAGAAGTAGCAATAACAGAGGCAGTTCTAACACTGAAACAAACTGTTATCTTCTAGTCCATAGAAACACATGGTATTCTAGGACAACCTATTCATCTCTTAGTCACAGTTTACTCTTCAGAAGCAACGACTCTCCAGAGACTCAGGAAAGGATCTTTCAAACCACTTCATAAGCAATCCTTTGACCTGTGAGATAGAAACTGCATGCAAAATAAATGCTGTGTAATGTAAGCTACATTCCATATTATGCGCCACAGAGTCTAGAGACTGACCTTCTGTAATACATACTGAGAAATAAAAGTGACGATGATTTCATTTTATACCTGTAACATTTTTTAAAATAACTTTAGAAGTTATTTTGCTCACAGCAACTTCAAACTCATTAACACCTTGCCTACGACCAGTTTCACAAAGTGTTGAATTTTGAGTGCAAGAGGATTACATTTTCACCCCTTCATTGTTACAAAGAGGGTTTCTGTTTACAAATAAAACTATTTGTACTAAGTTATAACCCTTATTACATTGTCTCAAGACCCAAACGACAGTGACAGGGAAAGACAAGTTATGAATTATTACTTTTGCCATGAGATTCCAGTTTAGGTTTAAGGTGTAGGCCTAGGCTCATGTGAGTGCCTTTGGCTGGAGCATTCCTTCTGTTTCCAGCAGCAGATGTTGTCACCCCTGGCAAGGGAGAACCCCAGTGTATATTCTTTTGGGCCGGCCTCTTCCGGGAATAGGATCGCAGCTTCACCCAGTCCATCTTCTGTATTTTCCCCTTCTAGAGAAAGGTTGCCTACAAAGAGAAAAGAAAGGGGGGAGTGGGGGGTCAGAACACAACCAGAGCAGTCTCTTTGCAACAAGAAAATTGAAAAGAATTCAATATTAGAACGAACAACACCCCCAAAGCAGTAGTAAAGCATTTCACTCTTCCTGAACATACAGCCTCTGACCTGCAAGGAATGGTTCCTAAACAAGGATGATTAGAAAGACAAGCAGCTGCACTGGGATATAACTATTTCAATCCACTAGCAAAGGTATGAACAGATAAAATGATTTCTTTGTTACTGCAGATAGCCAGAGTTATTTGGAGGTTCTATTGCATTTTAGGAAATTTTATTATTTTTATTTTTTACAGTTCTTACAATTTTATTAGTTAGGATTTTACGTGCTTTGTTGTTTTTATGTTTATGTCACTGTGTATATTGTTGTTTATACGCAGCACTTGGAGTGCTTCTGTGAGCCGCCCCGAGTCCCTTTGGGGAGATGGTGGTGGGGTATAAATAAAGATTTATTATTATTATTTGAAACACAACAAGATGAGTCCACAGCAGACAAGATCACTCTGCTGGCTATTGTATTGGATCACATGTCGGACACTTCCCAAGTGTCTAGGACTGTGTGATGTATCGGCGAATAATGCATGCAGATCCCAGTAAGGTGGCCTTCTGCAGCTGGCAGATAGTAATTTTGTCAGCGCCGATTGCGTTTAAGTGCAGGCCAAGGTCTTTAGGCACTGCACCCTGTGTGCTGATCACCACTGGGACCACCTTTACTGGCTTGTGCCAGAGTCTTTGCAGTTTGATCTTTAAATCCTCATATCGTGTCAGCTTTTCCAGTTGTTTCTCTTCAATCCTGCTATCACCTGGGATTGCAACATCGACAATCCATACTTTGTTTTTTAACATGATTGTGAGGTCAGGAGTATTGTACTCCAGAACTCTGTCTGTCTGAATGTGGAAGTCCCAGAGGAGTTTGACATGTTCGTTTTCTGTAACTTTTTCCGGCTTGTGATCTCACCAGTTCTTTGTTGCAGGCAGATGGTATTTGTGGCACAGGTTCCAATGAATCATCTGAGCAATGGTGTTGTGCCTCTGCTTGTTGTCTGTCTGTGCGATCTTCTTGCAGCATTATTATTATTATTATTATTATTATTATTATTATTGGCATTCCAGTATTATTAATATACAAGATTTCTTAACTACACATACAACAAAACTCCTCAAGAGTTTTGACTCCAAGGAAACTGGTATCAGTTTCATACATTAATAATAATAGATAAGCTACTTGAAAGACCTTGAAGAATTACTGTCAAGGTCACAATTTGCATGGTTTTGTATCTTAATATGCTCTTTCCCACCCTCACAACAGTAACCAGGCTTCAAAGTTTGTATGCGTGCTTTCAAGTTACCTGTTGATTTATGGCAATGCTGTGAAATTCCCAGTTTTCTTAGGCAAGGAATTCTCAGAGGTGGGTTCGACTGCTTCTCTGAAACAGTTTATAGTGCTTGATCTTCCCTGATGGGCTCCCATCCAAGGACTAACCAGGGCTGCCCTGCTTTGCTTCCAATATCAGACAGGATCTGGTGAATTACGGTATTTAGCTCAATAGTATCTGTGGTTAAATACTCATGCCATCTAAAGAACAGATTCATATATACAAATGTTTATGCAAATATAAACCAGTTTGTCTCAGATTTATTATTTCTTACCTTTTCTTTTTAATGAGAATACATTATCTTAGTAAATTATCTGGAAACATTGCCCTTCCAGATGTTTTGGATTTGACTATGGGACCTGTATTCCAAAATTATGGACGGTGACAGTATTCCAAACTGATCTATAGAAATGAAATTTAGGGTTTAGTCTAATGTGTTCCAGAAACAAGACAAGACATCCTTCTTCCTAAGAACACTAAGCATAAACAAGGAACTCGGAGGAGGAAGGGTTACCATTAAACCAATTTAAAGTTGTTCTACAGATACAGACCTCAAAATGCCCTCCTGACATATTAATGCTATGGTTGTTGACCAAAGAATTGGATCAGGTACTCATTTCCAGGTCTACCTAAGGAAAGCCAAACTATAGCAGCAAGGAACCTTGATATTTTGTGCTGGAAAACCCAGGAGCAGGGATTAAGATCGATTGATTGCCTCACATTATATACACCTGAGCGAGGACAGGGCCTCATTATTGGCAGATCAGTTGCTGTCAGTAATTTTCCCTCCCAAATCTGTGTTTAAAGTGATTATCCGGAGCCTAAAATTGAAAGGGAGGGCTCTCCCCTAATCCACCACTCAAGAAGAGGAGAACAACTGAAGTATCAATTTGTGCAGGTCCCATCTACAAAGCTATATATTGAAACTGCATTATATGGTCAGTGTAAAATACTCAGTGAACTGCGTTATAGAACTCTACACTAGGCCTGGGCTAACTTGGGCCCTTCGGGTGTTTTGGACTCCAACTCCCACCATTCCTAACAGCCTCAGGCCCTTTCCTTTTCCCCGCTTAAGCGCTTAAGCGGCTGAGGGGGGAAAGGAAAGGGCCTGAGGCTGTTAGGAATGGTGGGAGTTGGAGTCCAAAACACCTGAAGGGCCCAAGTTAGCCCAGACCTGGTCTACACTAACCATATAATGGCTTCAACCTGCTTTATATGTCACTGTAAAATCAGGTTTAGGATTATGCACCCTGTGTTTGTTAACACCTCTTGTCATAATGCCTCGAGGTGATTTTCCCCATTCCTTCCTCTGAAATCTTGGTCTCCCATCCAGGTACTAACCAGGGCTGGCCCTGCTTAGCTTCCAAGATCAGTTTCTATATTGCCTGGAGGATACTGAGGCCACATCCTTACAGGCCGTGCCCTTATAGAAACACCCCAACTACTTCCCCTCGCCTCCCAAAAGCTACACTTCTTTTGTACTTCAGTTCCCTCATCTTGATTCTTGGGGGGTAGAGGGACAATGGCAGGCAGCCGCTGCCACCAATCGCCAGGCAGAATTGGATTGGCATGCACAGAGACGACCACTTGCTGGCCTGCTCACTCTTTAGTCCCGCCCCCTGCTCTGAGGAGAGAGTGAGGCCTTCCGAAGGCCTTCTTTTGGTTCAGTTTCTTCCCTCAGTACTTTCCCCCCTATGAAACTATATTTCCCTGAACTGAACAGTCAGCACCTAGCAGTGTTGTTGATGTGTTTCTCTTTCAGCATACATTATCAAGCTCTATTTGAACAAGAGCCTGAAATGAAACAGCTGCACTGGAGGGGACATGTTTAGATAATGTCTTCAGCCCAGTTTGTAGAGAGAGAGAAGGGAATGTAGTAGGAAAAAGAAATGCAAATATGGTATTTCCAGCCTGTAGCAACCCTCTCACAGGGTTTGTCCAGGCCCCTTCTACACTGTCCTTATGTCCCAAGATCGGACCCCGGGTTATCTGCTTTGAAGTGGACTATTTGAGTCTCCATTGCCATATACTCTGGCCGCTGCTTCATCAACTCTGCTGAACTGGCCACATTGTCCAAATGCCCGATCACCGTCTCCCAAAGCAGTTACTCTACTCCCAACTCAAGAATGAGAAATGTAACATTGGTGGATAGGAAAAAAGATTTAAATATGGGCTTAAACACCGAGAACTGGGAAGCCCTGGTCCTTGAGCGCTCTAACTGGAGGTCAGCTGTGACCAGCAGTGCTGCAGAATTCAAAGAGGCACAAATTGAGGGGGAAAGGGAGAAGCGTGCCAAGAGGATGGCCCATCAAGCCAACCCTGACTGGGACCACCTTCCTCCTGGAAACTGATGTCCTCACTGCGGAAGCCAACTCTAAAAACTGGCATAGATACCGAGAACTGGGAAGCCCTGGTCCTTGAGCACTCTAACTGGAGGTCAGCTGTGACCAGCAGTGCTGCAGAATTTGAAGAGCCACAAATTGAGGAAGAAAGGGAGAAACATGCCTAGAGGATGGCTCATCAAGCCAACCCTGACTGGGACCGCCTTCCACCTGGAAACCGATGTCCTCACTGCAGGAGAACATGCAGATCAAGAATAAGGCTTCACAGCCACCTACAAATCCACTGCCAAGACACCAGACTTGGAGGACCATCATCCTTAGACTACGAAGGATTGCCTAAAAAATCTGGGATAAGCAGATAATCTGGGATCAGATTCTGGGACATAAGGATAGTGTTGAAGAGGCCTTTAAGGGTGAGAGTGTGTGACTGATTTGCCCAAGGGCATCCAGTGGGCCTTGTGGCCAAGTGGGGACTCAAGCCCCACTCTTCCAGAGTCCCAGCCCAATGTCCATACCTCTGTACCGGACTGGGAATATGTTTAGTTAACGGTTAATTAGAGTCTTCCAGATTAATTCCATGAAGTATTGGAAGCCATGAAAGAAAGTTCCATGTTTAGCTGGGAGTATGTTTAGACAGGAAGTTAAGAGGTGACGTGAGAGCCATGTTTCAATATTTGAAGGGCTGTCCTATTGAAGATACAGACACTTGTTTTCTACTGCTCCAGAAACTTAGGATGCATCTACAACAGGCATGAGCAAACTTGGGCCCTCCAGGTGTTTTGGACTTCAAATCCCACCATTCCTAACAACCTCAGGCCCTGTTCTTTTCCTTTTCACTTAAGCGGCTGAGGGGGAAAACGAAGGGGCCTGAGGCTGTTAGAAATTGTGGGAGGTGAAGTCCAAAACCCTTGGAGGGCCCAAGTTTGCCCATGCCTGATCTACAATGTAAAATTAATAGTTTGACACCACTTAAGCTGTCATGGCTCAATGCTGTGGGTTCATAGGACTTTGACCTGCTCTGCCAAAGTGCTGATGCCTCACCAAACTACAGCTCCCATGATACCTTAGCATTGAACCATGATTATTAAAGTGGCATCATGCTGCATTAATTGTACACTGTACATGCACACTGACCTTAGACAAGGAGTAACCAATTCAAATTGCAGGAAAAGAGATTTCACCTAAACATTAGGAGGAACTTCC